TTACCACCTCCCTTTGTGCCCCAAATCAAGCATCCATATGCTAATGAACGTTCTAGAAGTGAGACAGAGTGGGTAACTGCACATGACTGCACATGAAAAGGTAATTTTTTAACATATTTTATTGATTATTTTATTACAGTTGTCCCATTCTTTTTTCTCCCCTTTACCCCCCTCTGTCTGTTACCCACATTCCCTCTAGCATTCCCGACCCTTCGCTTAGTTCATGTCTATGGGTCATATATATAAGTTCTCTGTCTTCTACATTTCCTATACTATTCGTAACCTCCACCCTACTTTGTACCTACCATTTATGCTACTTATTCCCTGTACCTTTTCCCCCATTCTCTCCTCTCCCCCTCCCTGCTGATAACCATCCATGTGACTTCCTTTTCTGTGATTCTGTTCTTGCTCTAGTTGTTTGCTTAGTCTGTTTTTGTTTTTAGGTTCAGATGTTGATAGTTGTGAGTTTGTTGTCATTTTACTGTTCATACTATTGACTTTCTTTTTTTTAGATGAGTGCCTTTAATATTTTATGTAATAAGGACTTGGTGATGATGAACTCTTTTAACTTGACCTTATCTGAGAAGCACTTCATCTGCCTTCCCATTCTAAATGATAGCTTTGCTGGACAGAGTACTATTGGATGTAGGTCCTTGTCTTTCAGGACTTGGAAAACTTCCTTCCAGCCCCTTCTTGCCTGCAAGTTTTCTTTGGAGAAATCAGCTGATAGTCTTGTGGGAACTCCTTTTTAGGTAACTGTCTCCTTTTCTCCTGCTGCTTTTAAAATTCTCTCCTTATCTTTACTCTTGGGTAGTTATTATGATGTGCCTTGGTATGTGCTTCCTTGGGTCCAACTTCTTTGGGACTCTCTGAGCTTCCCAGACTTCCTAGAATTTTACTTACTTTGCCAGATTGGGGAAGTTTTCTTTCATTATTTTTTCAAATAAGTTTTCAATATCTTGCTTTTCCTCTTCTCCTTCTGGCACCGTTATGATTCAGATGTTGTAATGTTTAAAGTTGTCCTGTAGGTTCCTAAGCCTCTCCTCATTTTTTTTTTTTTTTGAATTCTTGTTTCTTCATTCTGTTCTGGTTGAATGTTTATTTTCTCCTTTTGTTCCAAATCATTGATCTGAGTCCCAGTTTCATTCCTTTCACTCTTGGTTTCCTCTATATATTTTTTTCACTTTGTATGGACTTCACTTCTTCCTTTATTTTGTAACCATGTTCAATAATTTCTGTGAGCATCCTGATTACCAGAGTTTTGAACTCTCCATGTGATAGTTAGCTATCTCCTCATAGCTTAGGTCTTTTTCTGTTTTTTTTTTTTTTAGGATTTTATTTATTTATTGTTAGAGAGAGGGGAAGGGAGGGAAAGAGAGAGGGGAAGGGAGGGAGAAAGAGAGGGAGAGAAACATCAATATGTGGTTGCCTCTCACACATGCCTTACCTGGGACCTGGCCTGCAACCCAAGAGTGTGCCCTCACTGGGAATCCAATCAGTGACACCTTGGTTCTCAGGCCAGCGCTCAATCTACTGCGCCACACTGGTCAGGCATTTTTCTGGAGTTTTGATTTGTTCTTTCATTTGGGCCATATTTCAATGTCTTGGCACACCAGTCTTGATGAATGTTTCTTCTTTAACTCCTTGGTTGTTGGACTTCTATACAGTTTGATTTTTCTGGCAGTTATGGCTGGTTTTTGTTTTTAAATTGGTTGCTTCCTTCTTTTGGTTGTGCAAAGAGGTGAAGCATATCTACCTACACCTCCATCTTGAGCAGAATTCCCTGGAAAAGTAATTTTTAAACAATGTTTTAACTCTGAGATAAGCTTGTTAGACTTAAATAGAAGAACTTTGTGGAATTTTTAAAATCTCCCCTTAAAATGGAGAAATGATTTGAAGAAGTACTCATCTCTCTACCTCCATTTCCATAGTAAGTATTCCACAGAAAAAGGAACCTGGGAAGAACAGGAAGATCTCACTGAATATTTAAGCAGTACCTTCAAGGTTGGGGAGTAGCATCAGCAAGAGGAAAGGCAGATGAAATGAAGGCAAAGTGTCACTGATTTTTGCCTCTCTCCCTGGGGAGAAGATTGCTCATTTGAAGTCACTGTGGCCTGCCCAAGACCATCCGACATGAAGATATAACTCCAAGGTAAGATTTCCTGGGCCAGCAGGTTTATCCCAGTGCTATTATCTGAATAGGCCACCTAAGCTTACTTTAGAACAGCTTCCAGAGGTTCTCATGCTTCCTCCCACAAGCAGAGAGGGTTCTTCCTGAAAGCTGCTTGTGCCAAAGGTATCACAATAGCAAGGCTTCAGAATAACTGTAAATCTATGTCCCCAATAGATGGGCATTTAGAGTTTTTTCAGAAATCCCTGATGGTACTTCAGACTTCAGTAAAGAAGCTTTAGGAAGGCAAGAAATGTGGCCTACAGCATTAAAAGGACAAAAGGAGGCTCTTGCTAACCTTAATGTAACAAGTTGTGTAAAATAATAGGTAAAAAGTTATTGAGTGCTAAATATGTGCCATGAAAAGAGCCAAGTGACTTATATACATTACCTCATTTAGTGCTCATAAAAAGTCATTGTGGTTTGGAAGGTGAAAGAGACTCAGAATTCAGAGTCCAAGGTCACAGAGCTGGTAAGTGGTAGAGGTAGGATTGAAATCCAGTTCTAAGGGATACCAGGAACCAAGCTCCGCCCTACTAATTTATATTAAGACTTTAAACCCATTTTAAAAGATGTTTAAGGATCATGAAGTTTCCTGGTTATGTGCAATAAATCAAAGTTCCTAGGAAATTTTATATGATATTCATATAAAGTTGGTAGTGTCCAACACTGATTTTGCTAAAATTTTACATAACTTTCAGATGGCCTTCTAGAGTTCAGCCACACATTTTTTTAAAAGATCTTCCCTATAATTCAGATACCCAGTTTTTTCATATGCACACGCACAAAGAGATACCACACACACACCAGACAATGAACACCACCTGTACATATACTACCCAAATAAATACACACAGAACACAGACACCACATAAAGACCATACACAAACACACAAATACACCACAGATACAGAGATCTCACCTATACACAGCTCTATACATATCCCGTGGATCCAAAACATATCACAGAGACACACCACAGAAATACACACGAAGACCATATAGCCATATACAATATATACATACAAATACACTGCAGGGATACAGACAGACCACAGACACACATGCTGTACATGCACAGTATCAGAAACTCCCCATAAGATTTTGTTTCTCCTTATCTATTTATTATATCCTAGTTTCTATCCAGTTTCCAGCATATTTATTATTTCATTCATGCCTTACCTCTTGCTGCTGGTCTCTTCTCTATCGTAACCCATCCCAAATAGGGAATGCCTCTCTTTTCCTTCCATTCCCCAGAGCAACCACCAATGTTAAGACAGTTGAAATCAATGAGAAGGGACATTACACCATGTCAAAGCATAGCAAATGAATTAAAATTGAGGATTAGACACTCCTCATTTTAAATCCCCTGTGTAATTTCTGTACTTCTGAATATTTCATTGACCCTTTATGCTCTTCAAGCCTCCCAAAGACATCCTCACTCCTCCTCCCTCTTCTCATGGTCCCAGGACCTTCACACAACTTTTCTCAGGTTCCCACTCATTCTCTCACTCACTATTGCCTGTCCATTCCACATCCTCAGTCCATTCAGTTTTTACTCCCAAAGCAGGCTATTTAGGTATTTTTCTGAAGAGAACTATTTTTTCTACTTTGGAGAAAAACATTGCAACTCCCTTAAAAGACAGAATTAAGTTAAAGCAGTTGTGGTTTTAATAACAATAACTTTATTTCTTCTGTCTATACAGTCTTGGAATGTTTTTGCTTTGTGAATAAAAACATTACCAGTTATACCCATTGATTTGCCAAACTTATCAAAAACCAAGTTATTGATATGAATGTTATAACATGTATTTTCCAAAATAGTCTCAGGTTTATATTTTCAATACTATAGGAACCACTATCCAGAAATGGAATGTTTTGAATAATCAAATATTTTGATTGATGGAGCATTATCAAAACACTAGGCATGGAATACCAGTTTACAAAGTGGAAACATAAAACATTGGTAGGGTGCCCAACCTGCCACAATGGAGGCGTGGTGGGAATTGATGATTAATAAGAAATTTAACCCTTTAAAGCCTCACTTTCTCATGTTTGAATATTTGCCTTCCTGAGGAAAGAAAGAAATGATTTTCATATAATATTCCTGGCATATAACAAATATTGTATAAATACCAGTTTTTTACTTCTTTCCCTCTTTCCCCTCCCCAAGTAAGGAAGAACCACTAGTGTATTCTACAGTCCACTATCCTCCTTCCCTGATGATTCTGAAGACACTTCACAGTCCTACAGAGCCCTAGGGCTCCCATGTGCATATCAGTCCTTACTGCTATGTGCTCAGTGCTAGAATACTAAATAATAGCATTTATTATATATAATCAGCTCATGGGAGAAATCTCATTATAGCTCCCCTTGATTAATAATTTGCAGCAGTTGTTATTATTTTTGTTATTCAATTTTATTAGCAACATTTGCCATGATCAAGTCTTAGTCAAGCAAAACTGATTCTACATTGCCTTTTTCAAGAAGCTGTGCCTATCAAGAAGGGTCAGATTCCTGGTTAATGTCTAAATAGAAAACTTTTAGCTACCTAAATCAATGACTTAACAAAGTCAAAATATCCATTACACATTAATTTCATATCATTTGTAGTATTTCTATTTTTGATGCTCAAATTAATCTGATCTTCATTCTTCATACAAAACAAAGACCTTGGGAAAAATATCTGACTTACGTTATTGTGGAAACATTATGTTTGTCATTTTAAAAATATTTTCATTTTGTCCATTGCTATTTGAATTTCTATATTTAACCTTTTTGTTTGCTTCTTTTATGTTCTTATTTTCAGTAACTCATCCTGCTAGTAATTATGGATCTCATCAACTCTTCTGATTACCAGGTCAATGTCTCTATATTAGTAAGAAACAGCATTCACTTACCAGCTCCTGCCCCAAAAATGATCATTGTCATTCTTTTGTTCACATCATCAATAATTGGTATTATTACCAATGGTCTCTATCTATGGATACTAAAATTCAAGATGAAAAAGACGGTCAATACTCTTTTCTTTCTTCATTTTGTTCTCTCACATTTTATTGCAACATTGATTGTGCCACTTATAACCATCCCCTTCCTTCAGAACAATCACTGGAGCTTTGGAACGGCCATGTGCAAGATCTTCAACAGCATTTTGCATACAGGATTATCTGCCTCTGTTTTCTTCCTCTCAGCCATCAGTGTTGACCGTTATATTCTCACTTTTCACCCAGTGTGGTCACAGCTGCACCGAACCCCACGCTGGGCTTCCAGCATCATCCTGGGAGTCTGGATCTCTGCGGCTGCCCTCAGCATGCCCCATTTGGTTTTCAAGGAGACATATGATGACCACAAAGGAAGGGTGACCTGCCAAGATAACTATGCCTTATCTACTGACTGGGAAAGCAAAAAGATGCAAACATTAAGGAAATGGATTCATGTAGCCTGTTTCACCAGCAAGTTCTTGCTAAGCTTCCTTCTGCCTTTCTTCATCATCACCTTTTGTTATGTAAAAGTAGCCAACCAGATGAAAAAGAGGAGCCTATTTAAATCCAACAAGCCCTTCAAAGTCATGAAGACTGCCATTATCTCTTTCTTTGTGTGTTGGGTGCCCTACCATGTATACCGGGGCTTACTTCTCTCTGACAACAAATCTTTACTTTTACAGTTGACTATGCTAGTTGCAGTGATTACCACTTCTTTTAATATTGTCTTTTCTCCTACACTCTACCTATTTGTTGGGGAAAATTTCAAAAAAGTTATCAAAAACTCAATTCTTGCTCTGTTTGAGTCAACATTCAGTGAGGATTTTCCTCCAGAAAGGACACAAAACCTAAATTTACAAGCCTACATTTAAATTCTAGGTCCCAGAACAAACATGAGCTTTTTTTAGTCAATCAGCCAACCAGAGATATACCCTCTGCTTCTGTATAATATAGTTCCTATATTAAAGGGACATCTGGGGTGTACTGTAGTTAGATTACAAATATTAAAAAGTCAGTAAGCAATAGGTGATATTACAAATGTAATTCTGCCCTTTTTTTATTCTGGCAAAATACTGACCCTTGAGCAACATGGGTTTGGACTGCAAAGGTCCAAAATGTACACACAGATATTTTTCAATAAGCACATTCAGCACTGTAAATGTATTTTCTCTTATGATTTTCTCAATAACATTTTCTTTTCTCTAGCTCACTCTATTTATTGTATGAATACTATATATAGGGAGCTAGGGGGCTTGTAAAAAGGTGATGGGATTAAGAAGTATAAACTGGGCCCTGGCTGGTGTGGCTCAATGGATTGAGTGCTGGCTTTCAAACCAAAGGGTCGCCAGTTCGATTCCCAGTCAGGGCACATGCCTGGGCTACTGGCCAGGCCCCAGTAGGGGGTGTGCAAGAGGCAACCACACATTGATGTATCTCTCCCTCTCTTTCTCCTTCCCTTCCCCCTCTCTAAAAATAAATAAATAAAATATTTTTAAAAAATTTTTAAGTGCAAATTGGTAGTCACAAAATAGTCACGAGGATATGAAGTACAGCATAAGGAATATAGTCAGTAACATTGTAATAACTATGTACAGTGCCAGGTGTGTACTTGAAACGTCAGAGGACCAATTAGTAGTGTATACAATTGTCTAACCACTATGCTGTACACTGAAACTAATACAAAATAATACTGAATATGAACTGTAATTGAAAAATAAAACTTTTTAAAAGAATATATTATATAATACATATAACATACACATATGTATTAATTGATTGTTTATGTTACTGGTGAGGCTTCCAGTCAATAGCAGGCTATTACTAGTTAAGTTTTGGGGAAGTCAAAAGTTATACATTGATTTTTCTGACTGCAGAGGATTTGGAGCCCCTAATACCCATGTTGTCTAAGGGTCAACTGTATAACAGAATTTGCCATTTTCACCATTTCATTTTCAGCATTTTCAATGTAAATTCCAGTGGCATTAACTACACTCACAATATTTGCAGCCATCATCACTGTTTCCACAAGTTTTATCACCCCAAAGAGAGGTCCTATATCCATTAAATATTAATTCCTCATTCCTCCCCACCTCCAGTCCTTCACATAACCTCCAATCTACTACATGTCTCTGTGAATTTGCCTATTCTAGATATTCCATATAAGTGCAATCATACAATATTTTTCCTTTGTGTCTGGTTTATTTTATTCAGCAGAATGTTTTCAAGGCTCATCAATATTGTAACACATATCAGAACCTCATTCTTTTTATGGCTATATAATATTCTATTGTATGTATATACCATATCTTGTTTATCCATTCTTCTCTTGAGGGACATTAAGGTTGTTTCCACCTTTTGACTATTGTAAATAATGCTACTGTGAACACTGGTATACTGTTTGAATATCTGTTAAAATCCTTGTTTTCAATAACTTTGAAATTATTTTTACTTTGAATTATTTTTAATTGCTGGGTCACTTGATAATTCTGTTTAACTTTTTCAGGAGCCACCAAACTTTTCCATAGTGCTGTAACATGTTACATTCTCACCAGCAATGTACCAAAGTTCCAGTTTCTTCACTTATTATTTTCATATTATATTTTATTTTTACTTTACTATTATTCTTCACTTATTATTTTCCTTTTTTAGCTTATAGCCATCCTAGAGAGTGTAAAGTAGTATAAATGTGAGTCTTCACCTCTGATATTTAAGGCTATAAGAATATCAATTTCTAAACACCAATAGTATCCATTGATTTGAGTTGTCTGTCACAGAATCTTCTGTAAATAAATATTTGAATAGGGATCCATCTTTTAGTAGATAGTACCTAAGTTATTTAACTGATATGAACAAAATTTAACATGGAGATGACAAGGCACTCATCTTGTCACATCCATGTTAAAGTATAAAGACATTTATACTTTAATGTTTAAGTATAAGGAAATCTTAAATGTTGTATTTAATACATACAGATTAAGCTGTCTCAGAAATATGGGAGTAAGACCATTATAAGTGTTTAAGAACCTGCCTGGGTAATGTCATGGTGTATTTAATTTTAGAATAGCAGTAACAATATTAATTTGTCTTCCCTGGTTTTCAAGTTTCACTTTGAGTTTTTATAATACATTATAGCACCTGAGTTATGTAAGACCATGTAGTATCACTGACCTATTTACCTTTAGCTAGTCAGTTCTATCTATCAGTCAACAGATAGCAGTAAATAGATAGTTCAGTTGATACCAAATGGAGATAGGCCATAATGCACACTCAGTCCCTAAACATTCCAGCTAGCTTTGCACAAACCATTCCAAACCACAGGCATGTATCCTATTCAGAAATCCCCAAAATGGATAACATTAATTACAAGGGGTTATAGAAAGGAAGAGAAATTAACCTTCATTACTAAGTTTTTATAGAGGGAAAGTAATAGTAGTTTGATGCCCTAGAAATCCTGCTAATTGACTTGGTATCACTACTTCCCTGGGAAGCTGGGGGCTGGAGCTTTCTCACTTTAAATATGAGGGACAAAAAGCTGCAAGTACTTGAAAACTTTCATGTTGGCCCCTATTTCAAGCTTTTGGAGTCTGAACAGTTTCCCAAAGAGGGAGGAGTAGGATTGATGACTGGGCTGTAGCTCTGAGAGTCACTTCAGCAGGAAAAGCTGGTGCTTCTTCCCTCCCCAGGTGACCCTGACAAGCCTGCTGAAGTTTATGATGTAAGACTTACGGAAAAAGTTACTAGGTGGAAACATGATTTTTTTTGAAACAACATCATGCTTTGGAAACCTGTTATGAGAGAAACTCCCAGAAATTTGGTTCTTCACATTGGCAAAGTAAAGAATTACAGGTCAGCAAGCCTATTAGCATGCAAGCAAAGTTTATTAGTGCTAAGTTCTAATGGGAAAGCAAAAGCAAGGGTGGCTAGAGCAGGGTGGCTAGAGTCCAGGTGGCCAAAAAGGGTGGCCAGGGGCCTGGTGGCCAGAGGCCAGCTGGCTAGGGGCTCTTCGTGTGGCCAAAGAACCAAAAGGCCAAGAGAGTGAGTCCTTTGTACTTATAGGGTTGGTGAGGTGGGGGTGAAGAAGTTGCATTTTGAATGACAGATAAAAGTGGTGACAGCTTCCCCCAGGGAGCCATGACTACCCAAACGTAGGTATGTGTGGAAGTCTGTTAGCCTGAATCCTTATCTTGCTCCAGACTCTACTTGTTCATTTTGCATACATGACAGAAGGCAGGCAGTTAACCAAAATTGTTGGTGAGCCCTTTCTTTGGGCACTGTAGACCCCTTCTTTTTACCCTTTTCAGGTGTTGGGATGAATACACAGTCTCAAGGTTTTCCTTTTCCCAGCTAGTGGAGATGATACACACAGATTTTCCATGGCTTTTCCCCCACACTATTATAGTTTTGCTTATGTTGGTCACAATGCCTGGCAGCCTCAGGATCAGACCAGGCTCAAGATTACTGGGTCTGTGGGTGAGCTTTTCCTTTTAGCCTCATGTGTTAAGTTTCTTGTTAGAACACAATGGTGAGGGCCTTGCCTTTATTTCCCCTGTGACCACTCATTCCACCATAACATTTAAAAGGATGGGTCTACACAAAGTAAAAAAAAAATAACACTGACTTGTAATCAGGAGATTTGGGTGGTAGTCTGGCTTCAACCTCTAGCTTGGTGTTGTATTGGGAGCAGGCTGTCCACACATTATTCTGGGCCTCAGATTCTTCATCTATTATATGGGGACCTCTCTAAATGAGACTGTGGATATGGAATTACTTCTAAAATATAAAACACTATATTAAAATAACATTATTTAGAGCTTTTTATAAAAGGTCATGTTAAATTTTGAGAAAACAGAGTGTGAACTTAAAAAAACTCTCCCCAAATGTCTTTTTAAATCATTTTTTATTTTTAAATTACAGTTGACATACAATATCACATTAGTGTCAGGTGTACACCCCAGTGATTAGACATTACACAACTTACTAAGTAATCTTCCTGATAAATTTCGTACCCATCTGACACCATACGTAGTTGTTAAAATGTTATTCACTGTATTCCCTGTATTGTACTTTACATCCCCATCACCATTTGGTAACTACCAATCAGCACTTCTTATTCCCGTCATCTTTATCACCTATTTTTCCAACCTCCTCCCATCTGGCAACAGTCAAAATGCTCTCTAACTAAAAGTCTGGTTTTGTTCTCTTGTTTAATTTTGTTTTTATATTTGATTTTTGATAGATATATATTTCTTGTTATTGTTCATATTTTTCTCTTTTTTTCTTCTTTAACATATCATGAAATACTGGTTTGATAGTGAACTCCTTTAGCTTTCTCTTGTCTGGGGATCTCTTTATCTGTCCTTTGATTCTAAGCAATAACTTTGCTGGATAGAGTAATCTTAGATATAAGTCCTTGCTTTTTCATCACTTTGAATATTTCTTGTCAGTCCCTTCTGGCCTGCAAAGTTTCTGTTGAGCAACCTGCTAACATTCTATGGGAGCTCACTTGTAGCTAACCAACTGCTTTTCTCTTACTGCTCTTAAGAGTCTCTCTCTATCTTTAACCTTTGGCATTTTAATTATGATGTATCTAGGTGTGGGCCTCTTTGGGTTCATCTTGTTTGGGATTCTGTCCACTTGTTGACTTGCATGTCTATTTGCTTCACCAGGTTAGGGAAGCTTTCTGTCATTATTTTTTTAATAGGTTTTCAATTTCTTGCTCACTCTCCTCTTTTTCTGGCACCCTCATTGTGAAGGTTGGTACACTTGAAATTGTCCCAGAAGCTCCTTACACTATCCTCATTTTGGGGGGAGAGGGGGGTTGTTTGTTTGTTTATTTTTGCAGTTCCAGTTGGGTGTTTTCTGCTTACTTACA